ATATACATTTAATTTATATCATTATGTTTTACATGATTTTGCTTTTAGAATATATCACAATATATATTTCGAGTTGCTAATAGAACTACAGTGGTTCCCAAAGTGTTCGTACACTTATGATTTTCATTGAAATAGGGCTCTATCCATTAATTAAAAGTAAACTTTCTGAATGAGACTTTAATAATAAGATCTATAATCTATTTGTAACAAAATTATATAAAATATTTTTTAAATGTAGTGAAACTTTATTTTTAAGAAATTAATAATCAAAAAATGACAAACATTTTATCTCAAAAAAATGAAGATCTTCATTCTAAGAACTTAATTGGAGGCTATATGCCTTAAGGGAGGGATGCCTTTGTGGAGGACTTTATAAGGGAAACTGGCTCGTATACAAGTTACACATGGGGAAAACCACGAAAACACCCATGCAGCCAGCCTGTTTGCAGGATTCGAACCTCGGACCGAACTACCAGTGTTCAGCGGCGTTACCGCTCGGCCGCTGGTGGTCTTCGCTGGCGGTAATTATGTGAATTAGGATGCTATCATACCGCTCACCCGATGGCAAAAATATAGAAAAGGCAAAGTCAAAGGTTAAATTCATTAATTCTAATCAGTATGCACTAGCAAAGTAAAGCACTGTGGTTTTACATAATTTCTGATTAAGCTATTGAAATCGTACAAACTGAAATAATTCTTGCATTTAAACTTGTATTCCAAATTAAGATTTAACTTGAAATTAATGTAGATAATTACTGAGAGAATTGAATTTTTGTAGTGTACTTTACGTGAAATGAGATCACTTGGGGTCACGTGATGTGAACCGGCGAATCAGGATGTTTTACCATGAAAGCATAGTAAATTCTTAAATTAATGTCTTTTTGAAAATTTATTGGCTTTTTTACAAAATTTTAAATGACATTTAAATGTTTATACCTTTAAAATAAAAAATTCTTAGAACTAATATTTGTCTATATTTTTATGTGTATACTGTGTGTTGTCGCTAATAAAGTCTGCTTGGCGAGATTTGCGCTGGCGAAACGGAAAAGTACCAAAATTTGCATTCTATGAAATTGTACTTTTTAAATGATAAAATTTTAAAATCTACAATCTGAATATTAGAATATGGTTGGAAAATTACCATAAAATTTCTTGTTTCTACCAAAACGCTTTTAATATTCTGCGATGGAATGGGATAGTTCTTATGAAAATTATATTATGGTACTGGAAATGGCTTCTTGTTTGCTTAAGAATTATAACCAGATAGTGAAGCTCTTACAAAAAATTTTATCTGATTAATATAATTTATGCCTTTTTTATAATGAAATGGCTGTTGTATATAATGATTGTAGTTGTTTAAGAGGTATGTTATATTTTCCCATGAAACCATTATGGCATACTAAAATTCATTTGATAAGTTTAATTTATTTTTGGCTGTTGGGTATTATATTTCTATGCAAATACATTATGGTATACTGATGATTATCGTCAAACTCCTAATATTTTTACTCTACTTTCGACCATTTTTGGCTAACAAAAACTGATAAGCAATGTACATTAGCCCCAATAATGGATAAGCATGATATCAAAACGTACTCATAAATTCTCGGTGGTTTCATATAACACTGAGAAATCCTTAATAAACCACTTTTATCTGTTGATTATCTAACCAAATAAATAGCATCTGTTCCTCCCAAATTTCCACAAATAATTTTTCAAGGTTTTTTTATATGCTATATCTCTATAGTTTCTGTTGATCATGTAACTAAAATATCTGTTACAATAATTTTTGAAAGGACTATATTTCCATCAATCTTCTTGACTGACAAGAAAATATGTAGATAATGTGTGGAGTTATTATAGCATAGGGAAAAACATGACACCAATTTTACAACAAATCTGGGCTAATCTTTGGAATATGGTAACAGGTAGTTTTGCGACATTTTGGTAAGGCGATAAAGGTTACTAGCTAGGACTTTAGCAGTGTACATGGATACAGTCAAGAGTGTGCGCAATGCCATTTTTGTGCAATTCTAGGATGTTTTTTTAAGTGAAAATAGGTCGACGTGTACATGGATGATACCGTGTATGTGCAATTCGTAAAAACGCGGCAAGCAGTGGGCGATTCTGCCCTTTGTCCCAATTTCGCACCTAATCTTCGTCATGATTAAGCACTTTTATTCCATAAAAGTTCTAGCATAAGCGTAATTCGGCTAGAAGATTGTTGGAAATGTTGAGTAAAAAAAAAACATGCCTTTACTTCTTGAAAACAAAATGGCGTCCGAACAAAAACTAGCAGGTTGCTGTAGCAGGGTTGGTCGCCAAATTTTAGCCAAAAAATCGCCAAGTTACCATAATCCAAAGATTAACCCAAATCTGAAATTTTGTTTTGTGAGTCTTTGGTTAAACTAAATGCTATAATTTATTTAGGATGAAATAATTCTTTGGCATAATGTAATTCATATCATCTATGTTGCTACAATTCTGTTTCAATACAAGACCATCATATCAGTGTAAGATTTCCTATGTGGAGACTTGGTTTCTAATCTTTGTGTAATATAATACAGAGAAGCTCGTACTGTGAATTCGTAAGTATAATTTATTCTTCTATTAGATTGGAATGGACTCGGTGTTTTCATATAGGAATGTTTCATATTCAAAGTGTTAGTTTCGGTGTTTCATATTCAAAGATGTTGAAGTTCATACAATGTAATTAATTAATAGACTTATCACACAGACTTTTTAATAGACTTATTCTTGAATTTTTGGCTCAGATATAAAGTTATTAATTAAAAACAGCATTAGAAAAGCAAAACTGATTAAAAGAACACTTCCATTATTTTTAAAATTGATATATTTAAATGCTTTTGTTCATATAAAAACAACAATAAACACATTTCTAAATAATAAGATTATTAAGAAAATTTGGAACATTTATAAAGGTTTGCAAGGACAACATGATCGATTTTGTTATAAATCACATGGTTTTGACATGTTTTGAGTATGCTCCTGCCAGATTGGTAGAAGCCTGGTGATCCTGTTATGAACAAATCTTAACAGATAAAGATATAACATGTGAATATAGAATCTAAAGAAAAGGTAAGGTTAGATTAGGCTATTTGAATATGGCTAAGCACATTGGTTATCAGCCTGAAGAAGAATGTTTTTATGAAGAACTTTATAGGGAAAACTGGTTCGTATTCACAAAACACATGCAAAAAATTAAAAACTGCACAGCCAGCTTGTTCACCAGGATTTGAGCTGAGATTAAACTACCAGTATTGAGTTGTTTAAACCACTTGTAGGACAAAACTAAAGAAAATGCTTGTAATATCATGTAATCAAAAGTTAACTGCATGTTATATGCCACAATTGCTTTCTCAAGTACTGAGGTAGGTAATACTTAATCTGCTTTTTTTTTTTTTCTTTTGAAATGTTTGGTCATGGTATTATTCATTGCATGTATTTTCTATAATACATACAGAATATTAATAGTTCTATAACAAGTGTCTTTTTTTCATTTTTAAGTGCTTTGCTTGTTGATATTCTCAAAATTGCATTTGATGATTAGTGCTATCATGTGTATAATATAATATTATCAATATAATAAATATCATATAATAGATCAATATATTTTAGTATACATATAATGATTCAATATCATTTTTATGGGGAAAAAAAGACACTTTTGACTGCACAGATTTTCTAGAAATCCCAAGTAAAACACATATGAAATCATTTGTTTACAATCAGTGAACGTTAAAATCAGCTACCTGTCACAATACAATAAAACAGCGACACAATTTCCTACAACAGCCAGCAGTTCCTCCTTTACATGAACAAGAATTTTTTTTTTTTTAAATTTTTATTTTCCTTTTTGAACAATGAAATGTCCTTCGATTTCATGCGATCAGGACGCTATAGAACTTATCCTTAAATAGAAAGCCAAAACTTGTACATTGGATTTCAAGTAAAATTCCGTGCATTACCAAATGATCAGCTTTTTAAAATGCTCTCTGCTTCAGTAATACAGCGAGAATTTACTCCTCCTTGAACAAAATCAAACATTTCGGAAGAGCTAAGTAACTCCATTTTTGAATGTACGAAGTCAGATCACAAATCAAAATACCGAGTTTTATCCGCCATACTAATGTGTGAAAGCGCCATCTATAGGTGAATTGAATCGCGGATATAGAATTTAAAATAAAAACTGACTAAAATTACATATATAAATTATTTTAAATATATACATTATTAGAAAACAGATATATATATGATTAAAATTAATTTGGGATATGTAACCTCTAGAAAATCGTCTCACAGCTGAATGAAACTACAGTTTTAAACGCGGGAAATCAAAACAGGTGGCATTACAGTGACGTCAGATTACTGCCTGTTAATTTTCCTCATTAGGCTCGCGTCGGCGAGGAGTCGAACAAAGAAATGAGCTAGCCCTTTCTATTTATCCCTGCGGCTGGGCGTAGTCAACAGAAGGATCGCCGCATTTGATTGGACTATTTTATTTTTACTTTAACTGGGAACTAAGCGGGAAAAGTCCCTTTTTTCACTCAGTATATGTATGCAGTTGGTAAAGTAATGTAACGTTTTCAGCTTGTGTGAGATATCCATATTAAATCTTTATATTAATAATCCGTGCTGTGATTATTAAATTTGTAACCTGCACGTTGTAGCCCTAAGAGTTGCAACAATATGGCTTAAATGATAAACTTATCATATTAAAAAACATTTATAAAGACACACTAATATTGGTATATTATGTATTTAAAAGGAACTTGTCAGTTTCAATAATATTCTTTTTACTAACACAAAATACTTTCTTATTCGTGCCTATATTTTAACTGTTACCATAAATCAAAAGTTATCATAAGCTGAAAAAAACTAGAAACTGTGTGATCACCGAGGCAAGCGGCAGCACGATTACTTTTGAGGGGAAAAAAATACAGTATTTTCTTGTTCTCTCTTTCCCTTTCTCCCTTCCTTACAAACTTTGAACCAATGAGCGAAGAAAATCCATTTCAACCGTCAGTTTTTGGTTAGACGTTGTGTGTCCGTGTTGTAAAACTTCATTACTCTTTGTCTGTGTACATCGAACATCAGTTTTGTTTGCGCTTGCAAGGATATATTTATTGCTTATGGTTATTAATTATCTTTTTCAACATAGGATGTAGAAAATGATTTCTGTGCTTTTATCAAGGCTTGTGCTGTGAGTTCGATTATTTATTTTTCTATCATTGAATATAAATGTGTGCTTATTTGCAAGTTGAAGTCCACTCATTGAGAATCTGAGATTTCTTTGTTTATATAATGCTCGAAATTTTAGCTTTATATTTTATGTTTATTTCATGAAATCGAATTTTTTTTATGTATTTTTTTCAGATGTTTTTTTGTTTGGAATATTGTATTACTTCGAGCTTTTTTTATGTATTTTTTCATATGCTTTTTGGTTGGAATATTGCATTACTTCATTATTATTGATATGTTTTAATTATTATAGAGTGCTTGATTTCAGGGTTTTTTTTTGTTTGTTTTTGTTTTTTTCCCCTCTTTACTTCTGATTAGTTTTTGATGTTTTAGTTCAGTTTAGTTTTTTAGAGGTATCCACATCCCTTATATTTACATAATATACTTTTAGTTTAGTGTTTGGAACTCTCTATCCTGCTTATGCCTCATACAAGACAGTAAAAACCAAAAATGTTCGAGATTATGTAAGTATTTTACTAAAAAATACATATGAATTTTTTTTTTTTTTTTTTTTACAAGATGTTGGAATTTGATTTTTGTTTTCATGTATTAAATTTTAGAAATAGAAGAATTTGCTTCAAATTGGTAACTGTATGCTGACTTCATATTACATTTACTACTTGTACATGTAAAAGTAATATGTTCTATAAATTAAATTAATCATGAACTTTGAATTTGAACTTAATTTAAAAACTTTTTTTTTTTTTGCAATTCTTAGGGTTTCAAATTAATATATTGATTATGTATGTGATTTTTTTAATCAACAGAAGCTAAAGTAACAATCAGTTTAGCAAAAGAGCTATCACTTCCTATGGATATGACATATTTATAAGCCTCATTCTGTTGCTATTGATTATTACTTTTCAGTTTTTGATGTTTTAGTTCATTCTAGTTTTAAAACTATTTTTATATTATAACGTATACTTCTGGTGTTCTGTAAAAGACTTCCATATCATATTCATTGTTGCATTTGCATGAAATTTTTTTGAAATACATTTTTCCAGATCTTGGGACTTTGTGAATCGCAGTTTTATGGTTTCTGCTGATCTGTATTCATAGTGCAAGCAAAAACTATTCTGAAAAGGTTTCTTTAAGATAATTAGCATATAAAGTATTTTCTCCCTTCTTTCAGCATACCTTTGTGGTCTAACGGTAGCACGCTCATTCAAAAGGTCCATGTTCGAGTCCCGTCAAAGACATTGCACATTTCTCGAATCTCTTGCTTAAAAATAATAATAATAATGACTCGACAAGTAAAAGAGAAATATGCATACTATGAGCGCAAGAATTCCAGCAAACAGGCCTGTTTGCATGAGCTTAAAAATATTTGCCATTTTTGACATCCTACAAAATACGTATGGTTCATACCTTATAAGAATCAGATGTTTAGGACAAAATATGCCTTTATGTAGTTGTTTCATGTTAAGCAGGTGCTTCTAATGTCTGTGTTTGGAGCCAGTCCTGCTGCCAGAAGATGCCTCAACATTTGTTGAGGATATAGCATGCATAGTATTTGGTAATAATATGTTAAATATTTAGAGTTTGCCAGCAGGGCATTGTATATCTAGCTCTTATCATGCTTTCTTATAAGCACTGCATATAACCATATATTGGCAGTATATAAAGGATCAGAATTTGGATATTGCTTTCCCACCATTGTAAAAAAATAAAGTGTATGAACTATTGAAAGTTAAAGGTTATATTTATTGCTGCATAACTCCCAGATAAGTGTGACTATGTTTATCACCAAGAGACTGCTTTACCTTTACTAGATCTTTCATCCTTATAGCCTTTTTTCTACAAAAGGCATTGTGTTTTAAGCCTAACATAAGATAAAATGTTTAAAATTACTTCATGAATTCACGAACGCTGTTTCACACAACACAGAATAAAGCCAAATACAAAATTTCCAGATTTTTTCCCGATTTCCCCCCTTTTCCGATTAAAGAACCGTAATTCGTCCATTAATATCACATGACATATCCCATGATCTCTCATTTCCCTCACACAAAATAATGCGTAATCGGAACTGAGTACTGCTCACATTATTACCAAAGTCCCAGGTATCGCCTCCAAAATGTCGCCAAACTACCAGTTACCATATCGTAAAGATCAACCAAAGCAGTTTACGTGGATATAGTGAAGAGTGTGCGCAATGCCATTTTTGTACAATTCTGAGATTTTTTTTTAAGTAAAAATAAGTCGACGTGTACATGTGTTTTATGTGTATGTGCTATTCTGAAAAACGCGCAAGGAGTTTGCGATTGTGCACTTTTTCCCAATTTTGCAGTTAATATTTGTCATGATTAAGCAGTTTTGTTACATAAAATTTCTAGCATAAGTGTAATTCGGCTAGTAGATTGTTGGAAAAAGTGTTCAGTAAATAAAAAGAAAAGAAAAACATGTCTTTACTTCGTGAAGACAAAATGGCGGCAGAAAAAAAAAATAGTTGCTGTAGCAGAGTTGGTCGCCAAATTTTCGCTAAAAAATCGCCAAGTTACCATAATCCAAATATCAACCCATAATTGCTCTTTATTTCATAAATTGTGGTTTCATATTTTTAATTGTATAATTTCTGTATGCCATCTTACCAGATTTAAATTGATGATTTATAATCCAGAAAAACCCTTAATCCGGAATTGGCGAAGTCCCGACGAGTCCGGATTAAAGACTTTGTACTGTATATATTATGTTAAGTGCTTGAAGTGACTCTGCAAGTTACTTAATGCTAAACGTCTGCCATGATATATGTATTTTATGCTATTAATTCATGAAATTATGTATAACTTGTTAATATCATATTATGGTTTTGTATAAAAATATTTATTACACTCCCTAATACATTCTAACTAGAGGATTAATTGCTTTGAAAACCCTTAGTGCATGGAACCGTTTAAGTTAGTGTAGAAATGAATGATTTTTTTAACACCCTGGATTAGAATAACCTATTGAGTATCCATTGTCAGCTAAGTATTCTAGGATTATTTGATGCCAGTAGCTTCTTTTCTTTCTCCCCCGCCCAGTCACTTGTGTTATTCAGGATTAATGCAGATTTAAAAGCAACATTGTCATTTTTCTGGTATGACAGTTGCATTAAAGTGTAACTGAAAAAGGTGTCACGCTTAGTAAAGCATACTTAAAAGTGATAATGTTAACACTTATAGCAAAGAGTGGTTTTTTAAAAATAATTGTCTGTATGTTTCCCTTTATTTATTTTCTAAGACAATGTATGATTGCAAAACATTATTCAAACTTTAAATACTATATCCTACCACAATCAGAGTTAAGCAAATTTACTTCCTTTTTGCTGTTGTCAAAAATGTAAAATTAACAGCCCAGAAATTACCTCTCAGTTCAACATATATAAATAATGAGGCAGAACTTCAATACAGAATAAATGCAATTAAAATGAATAATTCGTTATTAAATGTAATTCATTGTATTTACCTAAGAGCATATATCAAAATTGTTAACCTCAGGCAGCAGAGTAGTGGTAAAAATCTATTCATTGAGCATGACATTATATAATTTGCAATTTCTTGTCACATGTTGCCTTCTGCAGGTAATAACCTTACTAGAAGGATTAAGATAGTTTCCTATATGGGACAATTCTGTATATTAAAAAAAAATGGCTGAGTTTCTTCTGTTGACCATTTCTCTGTGCATGATAGATAATGCATTCATATTGATATTATATAGATATGATTCATATTGAGTACTTTTCCACTGCACGTACTTCTGAAAATCATAAGTGTTTTATTTGTGTAGCCTAAAATTTAAAAAATAAATAAAAAATAATTTTTCTTTTAGTCCTTGACTTTTATGTTCAAAGAAATTTATTTAACGTTGCTTCAAATTTTATAGTTGGCCCATTTAATCATCTTTCTCATAGATTACCTTCAGTACATATCACACCTTCTTATATGCAAGCCCTGTTTTTTCCATACAAAAAGAAGAAAGGGAGAGATTCTTTGGCAAAAATACTGTTATAATGAATAACAATAAAAACATGTATAACTATTTATAATTAATTTTAAATTACTGATAAAAAATGAAGAATAGTCATTTAGCAAAAGCTTATTGCAAAGCTTTCTACAGTCAAAAGTCTTTAATCCGGACTCGTCGGGACTTCGCCGATTCCGGATTATCGATTTTTCCGGATTATAGATGATCAGTTTAAATCTGGTAAGATGATGGCATGCAGAAATTATAAAATTAAAAATATGAAACCTTAATTTATAAAATAATAAGCAATTATGATCTAAAGGGTATCAAAATTTACAAAAAAAGAAGTTTAATATTTATTTGTTTACTTTATTAAACATTTCTTTCAACGCACGCATGCGTACCTTACGCATAGCCGAAATTAGAAAATTGCAACCAGAAAACTATTTGATTTGTATTCGTGATATTTATAATGACGAGGAATTTGATTTAAATCATATCAAAGATGGAGTACATCGAGATTAAATACTACATTTAGTAAGGAATTATAATCCGAATAAAATAAAAACATCTGCCCTGAAGATAACAATAGTGCTGACAGATCAACTTCCAGTTCATTGCGCAGCGCCGCGACGTATACACCCCCCCCGGCGCAGAGCAGCGTGAAATTGATAAACAGATTTCGGAACGGTTAGATAAACAAAGGATATACCTTTATCCATTTTTTGTAGCAATTCGTTTTTTGTTTGATGGACATCGAGAGATACTTTCGTTTTCTAGATCCTTTGGGAGCTCCAGCATCGGAAATTTTATTTGACATAATCGAAAGTTCAAGCTTACTTGTATAAAATTGCTCTTACAGTCTGCAAAAAATAATAAGCCCGATCCAATTCGAAGATTAAGGAACAACGCAATAATCAACATTAACTGAAATAGATAATTAGATCATTTTAGCTTATACCGTCTGTTATACATTAAACGCGCACGCAAAAACGTATTCTGCGCTTGCGCAGACGCATATGCACAGTCGTAAATGTCATGCGTAAAACGCCTATGAGCATGCGTCAACGCGGTGCATGCGCAGAAAGATTTGAGCTTTGAGGTCCGGATTATGGGTGTCCGAATTAATGACTTTTGACTGTATTGCATATAAAAAATTGTCTTCTGACCTACTAGTGGGTTGAGACCCACACTTTGGAAACCATTGCTATAAGCATGCATAGAGAGGAATGTTTCGTGCTTTAGGTTGTATTGTAACCTTAGTGGTGTCAACATTAAGACTGGGAAAAGAAAATGCTGTTTGTTTTCTGGTTGAATTTGTAATCATTTTTATTCAGTTATATTTCTTCATTTTTCATGGGTAGCAAATATTTCGATAACTACAAATATTTGATTTTCTCTTCTTTAGGTTAAATGGATGATGTATTGGATTGTATTTGCTGTATATACATTTGTTGAGATATTTGCTGATATCTTCGTAGCCTTTTGGTATGATAAAAATTATGAACTCTTTTCAAATGAGATTTAGAATTATAAATGTAAATGTATTTTCATTAATACCCTTTTCTCATTGTAGGTTTCCTTTTTATTACGAGCTAAAAATTTTCTTTGTACTATGGTTAATGTGTCCTGCTACAAGAGGCTCTACATATATTTTTAGGAAATTGATAAATCCACAACTTAGTAAACATGAAGCAGTAAGTGTTTTATTATTATTATTATTTTATTTAACATGAAGCAGTAAGTATCCAACACTCCAAGCTTATATTCTTGATAAAAAGTTCAAAAAGTGCTTTTATGTTCCTGAAGAAAGAGTTTCTTTCATCCATGGTGGCAAATGAACAAATTAAATGTAAATTCGAGGCTCCCACTCACCTGGGAAGTCAAAGAAAAAATTTGTTTAAAAAATTCGGAAGTTAAAAAAAAGTACCCATCAATCCTTTCAAATATTAAAAAACTCAAGTTTTTAGGTGGCAATCAGTAAATAAAGATAACAACGGAAAGAAGTAAAAAAAGAATTCCAAGGAAGAGTCATATTAATTTACTAAAAGTATTTTAATCATTTCAGGCAATTTCGTCAACCCATATCTTCCTCTTCACTTGTTATTTATTAGATGACCTGTGTAATGCAAAAATTAAAGGCATAGAAAGTAGCAGTTTTTTTTTTCTCGAGGTAGAATTCAGAATTCTTTCCACACACAGAAAAATATATACACCAGCTTTGGTTAAAATTTTTCTAATAATTTTTTACATTGACTGCCAACACCTGTTTGTAATCGCCATGTACGTGAGAAAGATACTGTTCTTTATTATAAATAGTGTAATCAAAACTGAGCTAACTTGACAATAAGTAAAACTGATTACTTCATTAGGGGTTTTAATACTTGTGTTTAAAGTAATTTTCTTTACTTGTATCATAATTTCACTTAATCTGAAATCAAAGTAATTGATTCCTGATTGTTTTATTTAGCATTTAATTCCATTCCAGTTTGTTTATAAAAATTGTACAATATATATTTTGCATAAATCCTCCTCTCTTTTATCCATTCTTATCAGTAAACTGCATTGAGATGCGAAGTAATTTTGTGAAAATTTCATTGACAAGGAGAAATTTTATTAATGAACACAAAAAATGTACTACAGTGTTCTTTGACAAATCTGTCATGCATAAGTCTGATGCTTTATGGTGGGATATAAAAATATTACATTCCTAAATATTTAGAGAGCCCACTAGCGGCCGAGCTGAAAAGTCTCTGAACACTGGTAGTTCGTTTCGAATCCCGCGAACGAGCTGGCTGCATGGGTGTTTTCGTGGTTTTCCCTGTGTGTAACGTGTATACGAGCCAGTTTCCCTTCCACGAAGGCACCCCTCCCCTTAGGCAGTTAGCCCTCAAGGCTTTGCCATAATTAAATAACCTAACCTAACCTAAATATTTATATCAATGTTTCATGCTTATTTTTTATGATTTCAGTTAATTGACTCTTACATTGCTTCATTGTGGGAACAAGGCTATGATGTTGCCAGAAAAATAGGCGCTCAAGGAGTTGATTACTTAATTGAAGTATTCTTAGAGCTTTTGCGAAAGGTATGATATGCTATACTTTAAAATCTGATTTTTATTAAAACTAAACATACCAGGTAAAAAATGTTAAGAGGTAAAAGTAATACTGTAAATTATTTAGTTATCTTTCTGTGTAAGCTAAAATGTTTTTGTATTTTGTATTCTATTTTATCCTTAACTTCAGTGTAATGTAGGAAATGTAGAAAAATGTTTGCCCTTAATTTCATTGAGTAATAAAATGCTTTTCTACTAGTAACTGATTATGAAATAAGTACAATCGAGCGGGGTATAAATAACTGGGTTTTATTTTGCTAGTATACTAAGCACGTTTTTCATTATTATTAAAATTTCCGTAATTTTAGAATTCTGTGGGATGTTATTCTTATATCTAGCTGGCAAAATCTGGTTGAAATATTCTGCCTTTTAACACTATATTTTCCTGTGCATTTTAATAAATTTATATTAAAATGATCAAAAAAGGGTATAAAAGATCAAATTTAATTTCTTAGTTAAATTCCATGATGATACTAAGATATTCAGCTTATATTCCAGGTTTTAGATCCATTTCATAACACTTGTATACATTTAGTTTCAGTTTTTAATTTTTTTTAGTCCTGTTAAATCAAAGCTACTTAAAACTATTGCTGAATTCCTACTGAAATGCTATTTTTAGTACATTCTGCGTTCTGTCTTCAAGTTATAAGGTATTTCTCCCATCTTCTTGGCATACATTGGTGGTGGTGTGATCTGCACGCTGGGCACGTATACCAGAGGGCCGCTGTTCAATTCCTGGCGAAGGCGGTTGCTCATATTTCATCTTGCCTACTTCCCAAAAAATGCCTAATGTCTGTACAGTGGTGCCCGAACTAAAATGGTGGTGGATGATGATTCTCCCCACCCAGGATTTGGCAATTGGGTCTCCTAAAATCCCCAGTCACCCTGTAAAAGGGGGAGCATGTAAGGTATTTCTCCCACCTTCTTGGTATGCCTTCGTAGTGTGGTATTCTGAACGCTGGGCGCATATTCCAGAGGTCCATGGTTTGACTCCTGGCGAAGGCAGTTGCTCATTTTTCATCTTGCCTGCTTTAAAAAAAAAAAAAAATTAAAAAAATTAAAAAAAAAATACCTAATGTCTCTACTAACATATGTCTATACCTAATGTATGACTGTAATGAACCTGTACATCAGATAGATACATTTAGTTTATACTTCTTGTCATTAAATTTTTAGCTATTGGTTTGCACAAATCATATGATCATTGCACTGCTTTATATGAGAGGACTTACAAGTTAATTTCTCTTCAAATGTGACTTGACAGTTATTTTTGTCATGAAAGGGCTACCAGAATTCTTAATATGTTCACAACTTACATAAAGAAATTTTAGGAGGAAATTTCGTTTGACATAGATTTTGAATACGATAATCAGTTTCTGGGGCTATCAACCACAGGTCCCTTTTTAGGAACATTTTTTTTCTCCCTGTCTTGAAGAACCTGTGTCTGATCACTTTTGAAAACACACAGTATTATTCAAAAGCTAAAGTTGCTTCTTTGCCTAATTTTAAATTTTACAATGGTGTTTTCTCTTCGAATTAGATAACCAAAATTGTTTTTGAGTGGGGCAAATTGCATTCTTATTGAATGTGCTTGGCTTAGTTTGACTGCTTCTGTCAAATTGCATAGTTGTTATGTAGAGGTAATTAGATGGGAGGATTTCTTTGAGTCCAATCTCCTTTTTTATTATTGCTGTTTAAGAACATCAGAAGTAAGATTTTGTCCTTCCAAGTAATTAATGAATTTGTCATGTTGACTTTCCTTGAGTTTTCAGAATTTAAATGCACTTTCCTGAGTATATGTATTTTTTTCACAAGCCATTGCAATTTACAGAAAGTCTCAGGGACTCTGCTTGTTTAAGTCAAAAATGGTTTTAATAACTGTAAATGTGATCTTGTATAAAAAGCAGTTTGGTATATTTTCTACAAAACATATCCAGATAAATATAATAATGCTTTGTATAAAGAAAAGGTAAGATGCCGTTGAATAGAGCTATCTGGTCGTAGTTTGTATATTTCCCTTTTTCATTTTATGCATTTTCATACCTCTAGGAATAAATATCTGTATGGATGTAACATTCATAAGAGAATGTTGTGATTAAAAATGTAAATTTTATTTCTTGTTTAATGTATATGATGATGAGTTGAAGGCAGTTCGCTGTTGTTGGTTGTAGACACTGGTATTGTGACTCTGTCAGCAGCTAATGATAAGTAAGAATCATAAGCAGTATAAGTTAGAATCATTTGCTAGCATCGAGCCATGGACCTTTCGGTGCATAAGACATACTTTATGACTAGGCATGCTGTATCACTCGATTTAAGTACAGTGGTCAATTATTTGCAAATTAAACCATGATGCATTTCTCTTATGTTTAGAACATAATTCAAAAGTACACGTGCTGATAGCAGATTCATTTGCATTTTTGAATACTGTGCTAAGACTGTTCTGCTGAGTGAAAATATAGGAGTGCTTAAGTATTTACGCTTCACAAGGCACACTACCTTTTAAAGTTGGAATTTCAAATTAAAAAAAGGTAGGCAGTCTAATTAGGCCTAAAGGAGTACACAAGTAAAATTTTGTGAAGATAGCACTTATCGTTTTAATTCTCGAGCATACTGATTGAATAGAGCTTTGAAAAGAGTGCTGGGTAAAAGTATAGTCTAGAGTACCCCTTGGCGAAATTTGGTGATTTTTGGCGATACATGGATACGATTTGTGCAATCTTGACTCAATTATTTTGGCTTGTGAAGCGGCGGTTTTTGCGCCAAAAAGCCAAAATAACAAGACAATTGCACAAACTCGGTATTCATGTACACATCGACTTATTTTCACTAAAAAAAAAAATAAAAAAAATGGCATTGCGCACTCCTTTGATTTATCCATGTACATGTCGACCTATTTTCACATCCCCGAATTGCACAAAAATGGCATTGCTACCTCTTTTAACTTTATCCATGTACACGTCGACCTATTTTTACTTAAAAAAAATCCCAGAATTGCACAAACTCTCATTGCGCATTCCCTTTACTTTGTCCATGTACACATCGATATATTTTCACTTAAAAAGTCTAAGGAGCACCAAATTCTACAATATAGGTAAACAAAAAATACATAATCTCAATAAAATAAATTTTAAACCAAACAATAAAATAACATAGAAAAGAAAAAACATGTTATACATTTAAGCACTACCAAAAGCAAATATTCACTTACCATGATTTTCGAGTTGCTTCGTACACCCAGAGCCATGTAAAAATCAAAATACCAGTCATACTCAAATGACTTTTTCAAACCAGGTACTTCTTTCTAATCAAATGCTTAACATAGTGACCATCTGAACCTTTCTTCTACAAAACCCTACAAACCCATCTAAACTGTTTTTACGTTCGACTAGACTCTTATCCTTCTTATATACAGGACACCTGTAATGGCTACTAAGTAAACCTTCATTTGACACACCAGTCAATTAAAGCTCTTTTCCTCCTTTCTCTAAATTGAACAGAAACTTTCAATATTAATCTTACTACATTCGGCCATTTCTACCGTCTAAAGAATCAAACAACACACACCACAAAAACGCTTACAAAACATCCCATGATTCAAAATTTCCCAGAATCATGCACCGATTACGTCACAATAGGTTTTCCATAACATTCAACTACTCAGGCTACCATAAATGAAACAACTGGGCGATAAATCAAACAACAACTTCGCCATAATACAAGGGGTACCTTAAAGTCTACTCTACCCGAGTGCTGAAACGAACATTGCTGGGAAGCGCATAAGAAGAAGTAAGAGATTTTGCCTACAATTAAAAAACACTAGATTCTAAATAACGTAGCAGATTTAGCATTACCTAGAGTGGGCCATGGGAAGACCTGCTACTCTACACCCCTTAAAAGGCTCTTTTTTGGTTATATGATGATTAGATGCATATGAATGGGGGGGGAAAACGTAACTTGGGTATATGATATTTACATTCCATATTTACACTTTAGTCTATTTTTTTTAATGGTGGTACTTTTCGAGGAAAGTGACACCCGCCACCTTTGAAAAAGCGCACAACCTAATATTGTATGTTTTGCACATGTACCGGGATCCGTATCAGATTTCCACTATCTGAGCAATTCGTGTAGCACTTCAGTGCTTCAGAAATGGTCCCTCTCTGATCCGTTTGGAAAATAATTAAAATCTGAAAAAAATCAACAATATTATATCTAATTAGAAATTATAAACTGTAAAATTAAATGAACGTTTACAACTCAAAACTACTAATGTAGCGCTAGTGAAATTTTGAATGAAAACGAAAGAAAGAAAAGAATGCTGTAGTGAAAAAACCAAACTAACTAAAAAATAAACATACCCTTGACATTTCAGAAATCACCCAAACCCAACAATTTGTGAGTTGATAACCAAACGTCCCCCCCCCCAAAAAAAAGAAGGAGAGCGAGAAAAGAAAAAGGAGAAAAACAGGAAATGAAACACAGATGTGGACCCACCTTTTGTTGTCAATGAACTGACCGATGAGATGCGGAGAAACAAAGAATACAGTCTCTTAGTTGTCCGAGCACACCTCGGGTTCACCATTCGATTTTAGGCAAGATTTCATGGTAAAAATTTAAAACCAATATAGAATAAGGAGATTAGCATACAGCCAAAGAAATAACATAGAAATTTCTTTCCAAACAATTGCTTTTATATGCAATTCACGACCCTTTTAACCAGTTAACTGTGATTGACGAGATATCGTCATGGAGAAGCTGCACGATTTGTATTACGAGTATACTCGTGATGCGTTAATGAAATGGAAGATAAGAGGGGAGTTTATTTAGTAAGTACATAATGTCAAGTAATAGAGAAAACCGGAGCTTGTGATTGATTATAATAGATATGTGTCTAGTGGATATGAGCGAGGAATTATCATAGCATACTCCACAGCAGAGAAATGACTCAAAAAGTACTACAAAAGATA